TTTGGTGTTGTGCTGGCCAAGACCCCGCCCCCAGGGCGCACTGAGATGGCAACTGATACTAGACATGGTGGCGCGCGCCTGTAATCCCAGCGCTTAGGAGGCTGAAAGCAGGAGACTCACTGTGAGACCGATCTAAGTAGTGAGAGCTTGTAGACCCTGTATTAAATACAGGAAAAAAAAAAAAAAAAAAAAAAATCTGTTATACCTGACTTTATCTTAAAAGTCTGTGCTGATACGTGAATATGTATGTACATTAAGATTTTAAGTTAAGATTAATCACGTAATTCATATGTGCACCGATACTTCTGTGATTTCCTACCTTAAATCTCATGTCTATTATATTTTGACTCCTTTATATAGTGTTATGGTAATGTCCATGAAAGCAATAGAAGTCAGTGTGAAACTTCAAGAGGAATGATTATTGTCTCAATAACCATTGATTTAAGCAATATAAAATGAACCAAAATATTGTCTGATAAATGAGGAAGCATTGGGGCTGGGGAGATGGCTCAGTGGAATAAATGCTTCCCTGGCAAGGAAAGGGCCTGAGTTCAATCCCCAGTTCAGAAAAAAAAAAAAAAAAAGAGGAAGCATGGATTGACTACACTATAAAGGGGCCAGGGATACAGCGCCTGCTTGGCAAGTGCAAGGTCATGAGTTTGATTCCAGGTACCCCCCCCCCAAAATAAAATGCCTACAAGGCAGTTGTGTTTCCTTAGAGTCAGATATAAAGTTTTCTGGAAAAATAGGATCCACAATCTTGTCTCTAAAATTACAAGATTCTTTTAAGGAACTTGCACAGGTATTGCTAAACATTTTTAAATGACACATTTATGATTTTTGCATTGGAACATACCCACAGACCGTCACCTCCCTCGAGTTTGCATGGGGCTGCCACGACAGCGGCATCAGCAATGACTGCACCCCACGAGACTCTTCCTACGAAGCCTCAGCTTCATAAAGATGCCTGAGAGGGACTTGAAAGGCGTCCCAGTAGGCCACTTGAGCTCAGTGTATGGTGCTTAACTGCTCCCCTAAAGACTTATTGCTTATTTCAGACATGTAAAGTGAACTTTATTTCCTGAAAAGCATCTAATCATGGATTAAGATTCCGTTCCTGCCTGTAAGCCAGGTATTTTGAACTATTTTCAACCCGACCAATGTCGAGGTAACCAGATTTTTCTTTGTGTGTGTGTATGTGTTTTGCATAAATTTAATATTTATTTCCTACTAATTTAGTGAAATAAGTGTAACTACAAAGAAACAGTTTCAAATTTTAAATAGACTACAATACACCAAATAAAGGAACCGTATGCCACCATTCAAACGTGTCATAGAAAGCACTCCGACAGCTTTAACTACGTTCCTATTAATTTTGTTGTAGATTTTAGCATAACTACTTTGACCAAAGCCAGCCTGTGTGCAAGAGAAGACCAAGCTGAGCGGTTCACTGGGGGTCCTGGGTCTGGGCTATGCCCAGCGCTCACTAAAAGCCAGGCCGGTCACCTCCACGACCCTGCAACCCGGGTAAGGGAGGAGCTGAGCCGGAAGACAGCTTCAGCCGCCCCTGGGCTGCGAGCCTGGCCTGGCCTCCCTCCGGCACCCGCGCGCACGGACCCTGTCCAGGGCCGCCTGCACCTCGGCCTCGCTCTCGGTGTCCAGGGCCGACGTGGCCTCGTCCAGCAGCAAGATCCTGGGGTTGCGCACCAGGGCACGCGCGATGGCGATTCTCTGCTTCTGTCCTCCGCTCAACTGCGCGCCTCTCTCTCCAACCAGGGTGTCAAATTTCTACAGCAGAAACAAAGCAGGTGGAAGAGCTCTGAAGGGATTTAAAATACAAAAGGAAGCGCTCTTGCAGAAAACAAACACAAACAAAAGTACGGGCTGGATCAATGTACTACTAAGACATACTAATGCAGAGATACATTTCACTTTCATAAATTATGAAGTTTACTTTCAAGATAATCCTTAGTGGGAAACTGTGAATGTGTTGAAATGGAAGTTGTTCTTTCTTTTCTTCTTTTCTTTTCTTCTTTTCTTTTCTTTTCTTTTCTTTTCTTTTCTTCTTTTCTTTTCTTTTCTTTTCTTTTCTTTTCTTTCTTTCTTTCTTTCTTTCTTTCTTTCTTTCTTTCTTTCTTTCTTTCTTTCTTTTTTGCATTTTACGGAAGGTCTACAGGGTGTTCAGGGTGTCACTACTAGATCGGACTCGTGGTGATCCGCCTGTGTACAGCCTCCCAAGAGCTGGATTACAGGTAGTTTTTTGTCGCAGTTACCTACAGTGCGTATGCGTATCAACGCTGAGTGTGGAGACGAGCCCCCGCAGGGCTCACAGAAACACCCGCTGAAATTCTTTGGCAATATAATCCTATGGGAATGGTTAAGGAGTAATACAAACTTATAAAAATATTAGTTTGCCTTAGATAATCTTTTTTACTTAAGCTTTTCAATTTGGGGGGAAACAAATTTGTTCTATAAGCAAAAAACAAAACAAAAACAAAAAAAGTCCAAAGGGAGGGAGTCTAGAAATACATGAGGACAACTTGGAGCTTGGCCTCAACTACCATAGTGTGCATCCTAGGTGAACACTGACAGAAAGAAACTCCTAGCAGTTACTGTTTGCGATCGTAAGTCATCTAGGTACCCGAACGTGCTCCTTAGGCCTCTACTGAACAGTTCACGAACTTTCTAGCAGAGTCGGACAACCTACGCCTCAGGTATCAGCTTCACCTTGGAAACCAGTGCCGAATTCTGACTTTAAGGGTGACCGCCTTGCTAAGACGCCTTACCTGCGGCAATTTCATGATAAACTCATAGGCATTGGCTTCTTTGACAGCTCTCCTGATCTCGTCCATGGTGACATTTCCCCGGCCGTACCGGATGTTTTCCGCAATCGTGGTAGAAAACAGCACGGGCTCCTGACTCACCACGCCAATGATTTCCCTCAGGTATCTCACGTTAAGGCTCCTGATATCCTGGCCATCAATGCTGATCTGAAGGAGAAAGATTCTGCGGTGAACATTTAAACGATCCGTTAGCTACAGCAGCAGGACTCTCCGTTACGAAAAATCCTAGCTAGGACCGAACTTATTTCAGAAATGGCAGTTTCGTATTTCTTAAAATGGCAATTGGAAATAAACTGTAACACCCAAATATAAAAGTTAAGAGTTAATACTGTTCTCACCCTTATTTTCGAACACATAGCTTTATTTAGAAGAAATGTTCTGCACAAGCTCTTTTGGGTTCCATATTTGTTGATTTGGCTCTTGTGATGCGGGAGTTTATGAGCCCACAGAGGTGCCCTACCACTAAGCTACCTTCCCAGTTATATTTTTGCTGTTCCATTATTTTTATTTATCGATTTCAAATTTAAATAAAAATTTCCACTCGCCTACCTAGTCTGTGTATCACTTTGAACTCATTATGGTACTTTCAATACGCCTTACTCTAGTGTTTTCCACCCTCTGCATTTGGTTTCCTTCTAAAATCACTATAAAAGCAGAGAATTACCAAATCAAGTAAGATTTGTTTTTTTTGTTGGGTCACAGTTGCTTATCTACAATGACCGGTTTTTGCTGGCCACTCATTGCTTGTTGAGTTAAGGCTGAACAACCAATGCTGTAAAATATTTTACTAATCTATAGTGTCATCAGGAATACCTACATATATCTGCCTCATTGCAATTTACTAACACTGGTTTTTATCATCTTAATGTGGGTTTTTCTAATTAATACATGTAAAGTGATAGCTTTTCTATATTTTTATTTGTATCTATTTTTAAGTGAAGCTGATCATTTCATAAAATATTTTGTAAATTTGTATTTATTCTCAAAAATTTCAGTCACATGCTACATTGAGCATATTGCCTTCACAGATTCATATTAAACATTAAATTCAAATATAAAATGTAATCTATATATCATAAATCTTCTGCTCCAATTGATTCTTTTATTTCAGTTTTTAAACAGTTTATTTTAAGGAGAGGGTGAGGTAATTAACAATACCACTGGGTGTTTTTTCTATGTTTTCAGAGGTAAGAAAAGCATTAACCATAAAATATACAGTGAATATTTCTGAGTTACAAAATTTCTGAAGATTTTATTTTTCTGCTGATGTATATTTTATAAAAACAGTATTTATAGAGCAGTGCTGGAGCCTGTCTGAGTTGCAGTCACTCTCACATCCTTGTAGAAGACAGGTGGTCCTCGGACAGCTATTGGGACTTGATGAGTCCTGACACACTGTTGCTGGAGCCTGCATGAGCTGCAGTCGCCCCTCCCACCATTGCCATGACTCTGCTGAGCTGCAGCTGACTCTCCCACTGGTGGTGGGAGGCTTGGTAAGCCTTACCTTGCTGCCATCCACCATCACCAGAACCTTGTGGAGCATCAGTGCCCCCGTCCTCATCGAAGCCTGGAGCTGTAGCTCACCCCCACTCACAGAGGTGGAAGCCACAGTGAACCCCACACAACAGAATGTCTGGCGAGCCTACCTTACCCTCCCACTGCCATGGGAGCCTTTCTTACCTGCACCATGCCACCCCACCTTCGCTGCTGAGTCCGGGTGAATACTGGGAGCTTCAAAAATGCCAAAAATGAAGGAACAAAAGGCAATGTCAGACCTCCATGCCACCCAGAACAAGTCCCAGAGGCAAAGTCATAGAACTTGGAAGTCACATGCTTGAAATTTCTGAAGTGATAGCAACTAAAGAAACAACTCCATCGGGCTATAGAAGACATCAAATGAGAAATACTCTCTCAGATTAAAAAAAGAAATGACAGCACCTGCTTAGGCAGAGCATAGCAACTGGGGTTTGATCCCCAGTGTGTCGTGCTGGCCCCACCCCTGGGGAGCACTGAGATGGCAATTGAGACTGGGAGTGGTGGCACACACCTATAATCCCAGTGCTTGGGAGACTGAAAACAGAAGAATCACTGAGTCTGATCTATGTAGTGAGACCCTATAGACCCTGTACCAAATACATTAAAAAAAAAAAAAAAAGAAATGACAACTATGATGAAATAATTGCTCGGCATATCTAAAGAAGAAATAGGTTCAAAAAGAGAGAATAGAAAAATGACGGAAACAATGAATGAACAATACAGGAAAGAACTATAATGCTTGAAACAGGTTCAAATAGATATCCAGGAAATTAAGAATTCCATTGAAAGCTGGAAAACCACTTGAATGAAACTAAAGATAGACTTTCACACCTTAAAGACAGCATTGCAACTAGTGAACACAAAAGAAAAGATTTCTTAAAAACGCCAAGAAACTAGGAAATAAGAATGCAACAACTGCAAGGTGATACAAAAGAAAACAATATAACACTCATGGGTATCAATGAAACAGCAGGAGTTAACACAAATGACATAAAAAGACTATTTGCAGAAATAGAAGGAGAAAATTTCCCAAGCAGGGGAGATCAAATTTAATTGAGAAATAAGCTACTTCTATGACAAAGAACAACTGAAGTTCATGATGGCCAAACCAACTCTACAAAGAGAACTGACAGATATTCTAGAAAGAGACAAAAATAATCAAAACTTCCAGAAAAAAAACTAGAAAAGAGCCACCAAAAAGAGCAAGCAATTGAACAGATGGGAAAAGTAGGGAACATACAGCAGGAAATGACAAAGATAAGATAAAGATAGGCCAGGTGAAAACTGCAAGAGGAAGAGTTAACAATCATATATATAGATGCACCCAGTGTAGGAGCACCCAATTATATAAGACAAATTTTAACAGACATGAAAAATCAAATGATCAATAACACAATTGTAATAGGGGACCTTAACATCCCACTGTCACAGAAAGATAGGCAAATATCACTGAAGAAATGAAAGAACTAAACCAAACTTTTTAAAAACATACTTAAGTAGACATTTACAAAATGTTCTATCCAACAATGTCAGAGTACACATTCTTCGCAGCTGTACATGGGACATTCTCCAAAATAGACCATATTATAACACATAGAGCATGCTTAAGTAAATGTAAAGGAATTATAATTATCCCATGCATATTATCTGACCGCAGTGCAATGAAACTGGAAATTACTGACAAATGAAATGGCAAGAACTCCATAAACACATGGAAATTAAAAAATACCCTCCCGAACAATAAATGAGTCACAGATGAAATTAAGCAATATTTACAATAAAAAGTACAGATACAACTTATCAGAATCTGTGGAACATAACGAAAGCTGACTCAATTGGGAAATTTATACTAGTAAATTCTTACATCAGGAAGACAGAGTGAATCTGAATAAACAATCTTATGCTGCAAGTCAAGCTCCTACTAACAGAAAATCAAATCAAGCCCACAGCCCAAAGGAGGCAGAAAATTATAAAGATGAGAGCAGAAATTAATGCAATGGAGATGAGGAAGGTAATACAAAGAATTAATGAATCAAAGAGTTGGCTCTTTGAAAGAATAAATAAAATTGATAAACTTATAGCCAACCTTATGAACAAAAGGAAAGAAAAATTCTAATTCATGCATTAAGAATGAAAAGGGTGAACTCAGTACAGACCCTATAGAAATTCAGAAGTACATCAATACCTAATTCAAAAATCTTTAATGTCACAGACTGGAAAACACAGAAGACATAGACAGATTCCTAGATACATATGAATTACTAAAACTGAATCAAGAAGATAGGAAATTTCTGAATAATATAATCTCAGTGAATGAAATTGAACACACAGCAAAAAACTTACCAACAAAGAAAAGCCCAGGTCTTGATGGATTCACAGCTGAATTATGCAAGAAATTTAGAGAAGACTTAATGTCAAATCTTCTCAAGCTTTTCAATGAAATTGAAAGGAAAGGAATTCTCCCAAATTCATTCCTGTAGGCAAATATTACTCTGATACCAAAAACCAGAGAAAGACCCAATCAAGAAAGAGAACTACAGGCCAATCTTCCTACTAAACATCCTCACTGAGGAAAACATTCTCAATAAGATACTAGCAAACAGAATGCAGCAAATAATCAAGAAGATTATAAACCTCAACCAAGTGGGATTCATCCCAGGCATACAAGGATGATTCAATATATGCAAATCCATAAATGTGATATATCACATCAACAGATCCAAGACAAAAATCTCAGTATCATCTCAATTGATGAGAAAAAGGTTTTGACAAAGTGTAGTACTCATCCATGATAAGAAAAACCTTACAGAAAATCAAAATAGATGGTCTTTATTTCAACCTGATAAAAGTCATCTATGACAAACCAACAGTCAACATCGTACTAAATGGACAAAAATTGAAAGCCTTCACTTTAAAATCAGAAACAAGACAAGGATGCCCACTGTCACCACTCCTGTTCAATATAGTTCTGGAAACATTAGCCACAGCAATTGAGAGAGAGAGAGAGAGAGAGAGAGAGAGAGAGAGAGAGAGAGAGGAATAATGATTGGAAAGGAAGAAGTGAAATTATCATTATTTGCAGATGATATGATTCTCTGCATAGAAAATCCCAAAGTCTCCACTAAGAGACTTGTAGATTTAATAAGCAAATTCAGTAGTGTAGCAGAATAGAAACTCAACACTCAGAAATCAACACTATTTCTATACACAATCAATAAACACACCAAGAGAGAAATTAGGGAAACAATGTCTTTCCATACAACATCCAAAGAAATAAAATACTTAGGAACAAATCCAACAAAGGAAGCAAAAGATTTATACAGTGAAAATTACTGTACTCGGAAAAAAAAACCAGATTGAAAAGGATTTCATACAATGGGAAGATATTCCTTGCTCAAGGTAGGAAGAACCAACATTGTGAAAATGGCCATACTCCCAAAATTTTTATACAATCCTAATTAAAATACCATTTGTATACCTCTCAGATCTATAGAAAATATTCCTAAAATTCATCTGGATCCTGAAGAGACCTAGAATAGCGAGAGCAATCCTAGGCCACAAAGATAAGACAGGGGGCGTCACAATCCCTGACTTGAAATTACACTACAAAGCTACTCTGATAAAATCAGCATAGTACTGGCAAAAAAACCAATCCTGAGTATCAGTGGAACAGATTAGAACATGCAGACACAACTACAAACATACTCAGCCACTTTATCTTTGACCAAAGGCCAAATATGTTCACTGGAAAAAAGATAGCCTCCTTAATAAATGGTGCTCAAAAAACTGGCTCTCCATATGCCGAAGGCTAAAATTAGATCCACGTTTATTATCATGCACTAAACTACAGTCGAAATGGATCAAAGATTTAAATATTAAAACTGAAACGCTAAATCTACTGGATAAAGAAGTAGAAATCTTGAAGACATAGGGGTAGGCAAAGAGTTCATGAACAGAAATCAAACTGCATGGGAAATACTTCAAATAATCAGCAATTGGGATCCCACATTTTTTTTTTAAAGTTTCCACATGTCAAAAGAAATCACTAATAGGGGCTGGTGAGATGGCTCAGTGGTCTAAAGCACCTACTTAGAACAAGCTAAGCTAAGCAAAAGCACAGCGACCCCGGTTCAATCCCCAGCA